TCTCTCTCTTGATGCTCTATGATCTTCGAGTGAAGTGATTTTGGAATAATTGTGCTTTATCAATCTCATAATTTGAATCTTGATGTGTCATTTGAGTCGATTCTCGTCCATTTTTCTTCGCTTTCTCTTTTTCTTCTTTTTGTTTTGATTGGATCTTCGCACTTGGCATTGAGCTCACCTTTTGATATCCCCTCTGATTTGATGTCTTCACTCATGTGAGCATATTTCTTCCATCTTGCCCCCCATTGTGGAGGGTGATCCTTGGTTAGGGTTGAATCAGAAGAAAAATATTATAGGCTCAAAAGGGGTCAACAAGGGATATATATATACATTTATGGATAAATGAAACAAAGTCGGTCATCATCTCATACATAAAAGTCTTCGCATAAGAGGTATCTCCAGGGGGATAGATTTTCAGGATTAAGTTTTATTCACATGAAAATAATGTAATTAATGCATGATAGAATTATTTTGAAGTAATTCTCCTTTCTGCTTCTTGCTCCCAGCATGTCTTAATTGTTTAGGTTCATCTTCAGGAAGTTGATGTCAGATGCCCCATGTTGTGTCTTCTGGTAGGAAGGTTCATGCTCAAGTGAACAACTCAATGCCTTAGGTTTTATTGGTATAAAGATGTCAGTGTTGCGTCTAAAAAGATGATGGCGTGACTTTATTAACTCAAAGGTATCGGCATGACTCTTTGTAACTCCATGAATTATTCTGGGTAAAAAATCGAAGAATTTTTTAGACATGTTAAGAAAGGTCTGATCTTGTCATATGTCAAAAATCTATAATTCTTGAAGAATTAAAAGAATATTTAATTCATTTAATATTCGAAGAACTAAAGATTAAAACTCGTTCAATTATTTCACCTTAGAAGGTAGCATAAATTCAATCATTTAAAAGATTAATCAAACATGAAAGATAAAAAAACGTGTTCAAACAAAACAATGCTCTCAGTGCAAATGGTAGATGCAATGCCCCTTTCTTCGATTGTCCATGCCCCTGAATCCATCAAGTTTTGGATTTTGTGCTTCAGTGCCTTACAATTCTCAAATGAATGTCCGGAGCTTCCTATGTGGTAACTGTACACAGCTTCAACATCATAAATCTCAAGGAATGAGAACATTTCTCTTAGATCATCTTAGAAGACTCAATCTTGTTGAATAAACTTCTATCGTATTGATTTCATTTTCTCTTTAATTATTCAAATCTTGCTTCCATGTGGTGTTATATGGTTAAGACCACTTCATTGAATCCTTCATGAAGAAATTTCATGTTCATGAAAATGCTTAAAAATGAAATGCAGAATGCAAAAATGCATGAAATGTTCGAGGCATTGATCCAAAAACATGTATGTTATTATAAAAAATCTTTATTGAGACAAAAGTGTTTTATCTTTTAAGAGAAAAAAATATCAAAGGTATATTCTGACTAAATCCTCTAGACATCAAACAACTTATAACAGGCTGACTATTCCTCTGCCTTTGTCTGTCGCCAGTTGAATACCCTGTCGAACCTCTCCGGCTTCTCTGGCTGAACTGTGCAAGTGTTGAGCTGTTTTTTATACTTGTTCCAAGAAGTCTCAAATGACTGCATCTCTGGCTTTCATCTTTTGTTGAACATGTTCCCGACAAATACGTCATTGGAGCCCTCCATAGAAAGGACGTATCTGAACCTTACTTGCTTGCTTCTTGAATTCATCAACAATGGCCTCCAATTTCAGCTATCTTTTTGCCATCCTGCTCTTGTTGTCTTTGAAGGGACTCTCCAAGTCAGTAGTATTTTTCTCGTCTTGCCCCTGTAAATTTTGCCAACTCATAAGGTCGACTTTTGATGCGCTCGATGTAAATCCTGGTCCGTTCTGAATCCTTTATAATGCAACAGTGTGTTATATTCTTCAATTACGGGTACTACGTCTTCTTGGTTGAACTGTCTTGCATATTGTCTCCTTGACCATAGCCGAACCTCTGCGTTTTTCACCTCTTGTATTACAACCCATTTGTCCATTAATGCAAATTATTTAGGTTTAACGAACACATTTTTGGTGGATCAACACCTCTTTTGAATGATGCAAATGATAAAAATAAAATGAAAGAAAACAAAAATGAAAAGAGTTAGTGAGGTAAGGATAATAATCAAAACAATAATGAAAAATAAAAATCCTACCCCATATGCTTATTATTCCTACCCGGACATGATCTCTATCCCACATGTTGATTTTGAACAAGTCCTAACCGCATACATTTCTAGTTCATATGCTTCGAACAGAAAATAAAATAGGAGATAATTCGAGCATCCTAGGTTTTAAAATGGAGTTTCGGGGTGGGCTCTAATTCCTTGTAGTCTATCGATTTAGGTTCTAAAAACAGTACTCGAGTTCTCCTTGCTAGTGCCCCCTTGGGCTTGCCAGACCCTTAGTCCTAAGCCCATTACAAGCTTGTGTGGGCTAAGTTAAACTCGAGAGGATACATTCTCTTATGTCTGTGCGGTGAATAAATTCACACGAAGACATAAAGTATATGAATCCCGAAGGTTACTTGCTAGGCCTATGCGGAGAATAAATTCTCACGAAGGTGTAGCTTTCACCCCCACTTAAAAGGGTTCGGAGCTCGAATATAGAGACAGAGATGAAAACTTTAAAAAATCTGAAATCATTGAAAAAAATGTCAGTACAACTATTTATTTGAAAAATAATCAAAGATAAATAATTAGAATTGAATAAATAAATTAAAACTTAAACTTATAATTTCGCTCAAAAAGACAACTAGAAATTAATTTCGCTCAAAAAGACAACTAGAAATTAATTTCGGCCTAACTTATTTACTTATCCCCAGCAGAATCGCCAAGCTGTCATAACCATTTTTCGGGTGGAACAATTAAATGTTATTTTAAAAAACGGTTACGACTTTAATTTTGAAAAATTAGAGATTTTGAAATTAAGTTTGATAGAATTGAAAAAGAGATGTCATCGATCTTTGGGTTAGGTAGATCAAATACCTAATAAAGTCTTTTAAAAACAATTTTAAGAAAAATTATTTTTAAGACGAAAAACTGGTCTGCGTTTACAAAGATTCGATTAAAACGGGTTCGGGAGTCGGTTACAGTCAAGGAAGGATTAACACCCTTGAACTGTCCTTTCGGTACCATTTAATTTGTCGATTGTCTTAATTGCGAAAAATAAAATTTAAATTTAAATTTAAAAATTCAATTCAAATTATTTACCTTTTATCGATTGAAGTTACTACTGAAAAATCAAACAAAATATTAGATGGTAAAATAAAATATTGAATGCTAAACAAAAAGAAAAATTTTAGAAGATTAAAAAAAATTTAAGATAAAAATATAATAATAAAGTGAAATAATATCACAAGATAAATAAATAAAAATGAAGAAAATGTTAAAAATAAAAAAAATAAGAAAATGTTAATTTCTAAAAGAAATAAAAATAAAATAAAATATATATGAAAAATTAGGAAATAATAATAATAATTTTTATTCTAAAAATGAAGAAAATGTTAAATGATCACCTAGTAATTAGACAAAATACCAAACACGCAAAATTAATGATTAAAATAAAATTACTATAAAATAAAAAGACCAAAATAAAAGAACATAATTTACATTAGTGACCAAAAGAAAACATGCATAAATTCCTAGGTCAAATTCGAATAAAAATATAAATTAGCGACTAAAATACAAAAATGAAAATAATATTAGTTAAATCAGAAATTAACAATGACTAAATTAAAATAAAACAACATCAACATGCATAATCGAAATAAAATAAAAAAGGATAGCCATAGTATAAACACGTTGAAGCTTAGGATTTATGCATGATTTACCCATTAATATATGTGAACCAAGCAAAAACTCCTTAGAATCTGGGGACTTAATGCTTAATTAGTTCAAAAGGCTTTAAAATTTAATACTCTCCCATTTTTTCGTTTTTACCTGAGATTTTCAAAACATTTTATTTTTATTTTTTAGAGAGAGAGGGTCTCATTTCTTTTTAAAATTTCGATCGATCGTCGGTGGCCGTTGGCCACCAAATTTTCGAGGTTTGTTCGTCTCATTGTGGTGGGCACAGATTTGTGCTCCTTTGTGTCAGGGGACGCTCCGATCGTCGTGAAATGATAAAAAATCGCTCGACTTTCTCGGGCTTTGATCTGCGCCGTCTGCCGTTGGATCGAGCTCAAATTTCAGTATGTTGTTCCCCTCCTCGAGACGCTCCTTTTCACCGTTCGAATCATCAAATCGACCCTCTGAACACCGATGAGACTCCGGTAGAACGGTAAAACGCCTTTTTTTCCCTTTTTTGTTATTATTTTTTATTTGAAAACTAATAAAAAAATAAAAAAAATACCAAAAATAACTTTAAAAATTTTTCTCTGTTTTTTATTGATGAATCCAACTCCTCCTTTTTACATTTTTGTTCGGATTTATATAACCTAAATTATACATTTTTTCTAGCTTTTTTTTTAATATGTTCGAAATTATTGGGTGCTTTTGTTGGCTTGTAGATGAAGCGGTGATAGCGGAGAAATCGGTGGATAGACTCATTTTAACTTTATTGTTGAAAATTGGTGATGGTAAATTTAAATAATTATGAAATTTAATAAAATAATATCTGGGACGATTTTATGTATTTTATTATTATTATTTTTTACTCTTGATAATATTAACTATAATATTAAGAAAGAAAAATCCAGATCCAATCCAACTTGCGTACTTACAACGCAATTTCGCAACATTGACATTTGACCTGTATCCAACTCATAATTTTCACGTGGCTGTGATGCCCTAGTTTTCGTCGCTTTTTTATAATTCCTTTGCCCCATTCCTCCCGCAATATAATTTTCCAAATATAAAAACAAATGCCGACGTAATCACAGGTGAACGCATCTAACCCATTCAACGTCCCAAAATATATTATATCTCGACCGTCCACTCTTCTGAAAAGACCTATATAATAAAGGCTTTGTGGTGGAAGTTCCCCTCATTCCAACTAATTCTTCTCGTCTTTTTCTCCGCGCCGTATGCTTTTTGCAGATTGAACTTCTCTTCGATGCCTTTCTTTCCAAGGGATCTGTCTTCAGATCGGCTCGCGGATCGGGCCAGATTGATCTATGCTTTAAAGGCCTTTACTGGCATGGAAGCAATTATTAACTTGAAGATCCCCAGCCCGTCTGGCTTTCGAAGTTTGTTTTTGAAGGCCTTTGCTCGCTTCTGGTCGCAGGCTTTCTTAATTGGCGTTTATGTTTTACTCTTGTAATTTCACAGGATCATCAACGGCTGAGATTTGGACGATCGTATTGATTTCAGATGTACGGTGTTAATAGACGAGGCATCTGGTCCATGTGGGATTGATTGGTTTGTTCTTGAAAGGATGTGTAAGATGTCAGGTCAAAAGGTCCTACTGATAATATTTATTTGTTAGGGGGCTGAGTCCTGATCTATCTTTGTCGTCCAAGACCTTTGCCATGACAGGTGCGCTTGCATGGCAGGTCACCCAACATAATAAAAATTTATCTTTTTCGGTGTTTTTAGAGGGGAGTTCGCACGGGGTTGCCCGGGTTCTCCCCTCTGCTGCGGTGTCGTATCGTGTCTCCTGCTCCTTTTATTCTCTTTTTCTCTTTCCCTTGCTCCTTTCTATCTTTTTGCATCATACGGGATGGATGCTTGACTCAACATCATCACCAACTTCGGAATATGCTCATGAACTCCAAGCCATACTACTAGCGTATCTCAAGGCCAAGGTATTATCTTACACATTTTAACCCAACTTCGACTTATCTAATTTTACTTTAAAATATTATTTCATTTATGCATATATAAACATGAAACGATAATAAATAGACCATAAACTTATTAAACCGATGAAGTAGATTGAATGGGAAAAGGATACATGGTAAGTAATATTGAAGAACATATATTTTTTTCTTAAGTTATTGATTTTATTCTGAGAGGCTTAGTTTTAAAACCAGCTGTCTAATCTTAAATTATTTAATTTTGATAATGAATAATTTAAATTAAAACTTGATTTCGATAATGATCATGAAATAAATTTAACATTATTTTTAATAAACATGTTTAACCTAGAAGTCCAACTTAAGGCTGTACAATTTTTAATTTCACTGGGGATAATTTAAATATTATAGGCTGCATTGATTTTTATTTGCACCTTCTTTTAATTGAAGTGGTTCTCGTAATAATGAATTAAAAAAGTTGGACAACTCTCTAAAGAAGTTGAACCATCTATCTTCATTTCATGTCTCACAAGATCAATTGAGAAATCACCATTTCAGTTAAGTGTTCTTAGCACTGATACACTTGTTTATATGATCATATTTCCTTTAATTTCTATATATACTAACCATTTAATCTATTGACCATTAAAAGTTTTGTTTAGTACTATGATCTATTTTTAAAAAGATTTTGTGATATACATTTTATTATAAGTTTGATTTGAATTTCAGTACTTTCGTTGAAATATTTCATTGGATTGAATTGATATAATTAATATATTTTGAAAATTGGTTTTTTAATAGTAGGTATACACTAAAGGTTAAAACCGTTTTTCTACTTTATAAAAATTTTAATGGTTATTTAAGTTCAAGTATATATTGGTTTTATGCTCCCTAACTCTTCGCAGATAATTTTCTCACAACCTAACTGAATCATTTAACGCTCGAACTAAATTTAAAATGCCAATCCCAACCGTGCAGTTTATTTGGTTTCGTTTCTTTTCCCCGTCTGAATGCTCTTGGATTCCCTTGCTTTATTTTCGTTTGTTTTTTCTATTATTTAAGTAGTTGAATGCATTCCCGAGTTTTTATGTAGGTAGTGCATCATGGAACTGTACTATCTGGAGAATGTCATATATAGGCTGATGCAGCATATGTATTTTGCTTGTATATAGCTCTTGGTAGTTGTTTAAGCCCTTGCACAGGCTTCTGTTTACATTGGATTCAAGGTTGCAAATAAATCTAGTCTTTAGAAGATATCGATGAAAGATGTCATAGTAGTGAGCATTTGGCGTCGGGAGGTATATCTGGATTAACCCTATTACATCATGTTACATGTCTCATCATTTTGATAGAAACCGGAAGTAAAGGATTGTGGAATGTGAGCGGCTAATCTGTATAGCTTGGTCACGGCATGGAGCTAAGGGTACTGGGAAGTATGTTTCTGTTTAAACTATTCATCATGTTGCCTATTTCTTCTTTTTGATGGTAACTGGTTATTAAGGTATCTGGTATCAAGTGTTTGTATAGCTTTGTCACAGTAATAAGTTTTGCCATGGTGGAGGTATTTCTGGATTTATACTATCCTATCACGTTTGGCACGTTTTCTTTTTGATAGAAACTGGAATTCAAGGTATGTTGGATGAAGTGTTCATTTAATAGTCCACACCAGTGAGCGTAACAATGCTTGGAGGTATTTCTGGTTCTACTCTCTTCTGTTATATTGTATCACCCTTCCTTTTTGATAGAATCGGGAAGTCAAGGTACATGGGATGAAGGGTTCGTCTGCATAGCTTGTTCAGGGTAGTGAGTGTTAACATATTTGGAGGTATTTCTAGATTTACTATCTTCTGTTATATTGTATCACCCTTCTTTTTTTTATAGAAACTGGAAGCCAAGGTACGTGGGATGAAGGGTTCGTCTGTATAGCTTGTTCAGGGTAGTGAGTGTTGTTGAAAGTCAAAATAATGGGGCGGTTGATTTGAAAATGACAAATGGGACGTCTGTCAAAATTAGGCAGCACAATTTTATTGAAAACTGGTAATGGAAAAATTGTAAATTTAATCCCTGTACTTTAGGGTATTTACAAAAAAAATCCAATTACCAATTTTCAACAAAATTGTGTTTAATTTTGACAGTCGTCTCATTTTCCATTTTCAAATCAGTCGGCCCATTATTTCGACTTTCAACAAGTGTTAACTTATTTGGAGGTATTTCTGGATTTACTATCTTTTGTTATATTGCATCACCCTTGTTTTTTGATATAAACTTGAAGTCGAGGTATGTGGGATGAATAGTTTGTCTGTATAACTTGTTTAAGGTAGCTAGTGTTAACATATTTGGAGGTATTTTTGGATTTACTATTTTCTGTTATATTGTATCACCCTTTCTTTTTGGTAGAAATTGGAAGTCAAGGTACGTGAAATAAAGGGTTCGTCTGTATAGCTTGTTCAGAGCAGTGATTGTTGATAAAGATAAAGATGACGATCTTATTAATCAAGATTAAAATCAGTCTTTAAGTGGAAGATTGTTGGAAAAGTCAAAATTGGGGGTTAAGGAAAATCAATTAAGGGAGCACTGTCTAAATGGAATTTAACAAAGGGGAACCGAATTCGGTGTCTAATTTTGTTGAAAATGATAATAGGGATAATTGTATTTTAGTCATTGCACACTTTAGGGTATTTACAAGATTAGTCTTCAAGTCTCAACTATAAATACCCTAACCCATTTAATTTCAAAATCACATCAAAATCATTCTAGCTCTCTAGTTGTGAGTTATAAGTGTTTTTTAAACACTTGTAATTTTTCTCTCTTTGATAAAAGATCTGCAGCAGTCCGAATACGTAGGCAAAATTGGCTAAACTCTGTTATCAATTTCGGGTATTATTTTTTCGCTTTTGTTTCCCTATAACCAGATTAGTGAGAATGTAAAATAAAAGCAGAAAAATAATACCCGAAATTGATAACATAGTTAAGCCAATTTTCCTTACATCTCCGGACTGCTGCAGATCTTTTAATAAAGAGAGAAAATTTACAGGTGTTTACAAAAATCATTTACAACTCACAACTAGAGAGCTATAATGATTTTAGGGGTGATTTTGAAGCTAAATGTGTTAAGGTATTTATAGTTGAAGCTTGAAGACTAATCTTGTAAATACTCTAAAGTGTGCAGTGACTAAAATGTAATTATCCCTATTATCATTTTCAACAAAATTGGGCACCGAATTCGGTGCCCCATTTGTTGAATTTCATTTAGGCGGTGCTTCGTTAGTTGATTTTTCTTAGCACCTAATTTTGACTTTTCCAACAATCTTCATCTTGACTAATTTTAATATGTTTTCACACCTCGATCAATGCAACATTTCTGGTATTGTTACTCTAGCATGTCAACTGAAGTTGAACACAACTTCAAAATGTTCGTAGTTACCGTCTTTGTTAACATGTCTATCGAATTTTGAGCTCCACTAATCTTTTCAAAATTCCATCTTCCAGAAGAGACCGAATAAAATGATATCGCAATTGTATGTGTTTCGTCCTGGAATGAAAAGACGGATTCTTCGTTAGATGGATAGCACTTTTACTGTCGCAATACAAGACATTGTTTTCTTGTTTATTGCCTAACTCTTTCAAGAAACTTTGGAGCCAAACCATCTCCTTACTGGCTTCAGTAACAACAACATATTCTGCTTCAGTTGTAGAGAGAGCAACTATCTTCTGTAGTTGAGAAACCTGACTCACTGCAGTACCTCTTAGAGTATAGACATACCCTGTAGTGCTCATTCTGATGTCAACATTTTCGGCTAAGTCAGCATCTACATAACCTGTCAATACCGTATCTACATATTTGAAACAAAGTGTTTTGTTTGTGGTACCCCGCAGATATCTGAGGATCCATTTGACTACTTCCCAGTGTACCTTGTCCGGATTATTCATGTACCTGCTAACAACTCCCACTGTATGAGAAATATCTGGTCTAGTACAAACTATGACATACATCAGACTTTCAATTGCTAAGGCATACGACACCTTCACCATGTGTGCATGTTCTTCATCCGTCTTTGTTGACTGTTCTTTGGAGAGTCTAAAATGAACACCTAAAGGTGTACTTATTGGTTTAACATCTTGCAAGTTGAACCTAAAGAGTACTTTGTTGATGTACTCAGCCTGCAATAACATCAAAGTTCCCGACTTTGTGTCTCTCTTAATCCTCATCCGAAGAATCTACTTTGCATCGCCCAAATCTTTCATTTCAAACTGCTTCGACAATTTTTGCTTTAAGTTTATAATCTCTTGTATGTATGAGCCTACAACGAGCATGTCATCAAAGTACAACAATAAAATAATGAAGTTATTGTCGAATTTCTTGATGTAGCAACAATAATCTGCTTGACTTCTGGTAAAATCACTGCTACTCATGAAACTATCGAACTTCTTGTATCACTATCTAGGAGCTTGTTTTAAACCATACAAGTTCTTTTTCAACCTGCATACTAGGTTTTTATTGTTTGCCTTTATGAAGTATTATGGCTGCCTCATATAGATTTCTTCCTTTAAATCACCATGAAGGAAAGCAGTCTTAACATCTAATTACTCAAGATGTAGATTCTCTGTAGTTACAATTTTTAACACCAGTCTGATTGTAGACAACTTCACGACTGGAGATAAAATTTCATTATAGTCAATACCTTCTTTTTACTGAAAATCTTTTACAACTAATCTTACTTTGTAGCGTTTGCTCTCATCGTGCTCTTTTTTGATCCTGTAATCCCACTTGTTATGGAGCGCTTTATTGCCTGGTGGTAATTCAGCTAATTCCCACGTCTGATTTGACATAAGCGAGTCCATCTCATCTTTCATAAAAGACTCCCACTTGACTGAATCCTCCACATGCATTGTTTCATCATAACACTCTGGTTCACCATTGTTAGTCATCAACAAGTAGTGCAAAAAAGGCAATAACGCTGGGTTGGTTTAGGAATTCTAGAGGAGCGTCTCAGTTCTGGTGTGTCTGGTTCTTCTTAAACTGCTTCAGGATTGATCTGAACATCATTTTCAGAAATCTCCTCAAACTCAGCAAA